ACCACAAATCAAGAAGATGTTTACCAAATTTGATAATGCCGGCTGCTATCATGGAAATCTATCAGCTGAAGCTACAATGTATGCAAAGAGAGAGATATAAAACTGCTGAGATATGATTATAATGAACCCTGTTGTGGAAAAGATCAATGTGACAGGGATAGTACAGTTGCAAAGACATTCTTATGGAGTTACGTTGATTCTTGTGATAATCTTTTGACTGCGATTTCTTCTTTCTTTACAATGTTTCTGTAAAAAACAAACATTGCATGAACATTTTTATACTGCAAGGTTGGGCATTACCAGTTTGAAGTTCTTTTAAATTTTCAAATCAATAGAAAGCACTGTTGCATAGATACTTTATTCGTGGAAAAGAATAGGTAATAAAGCGAGCCCTAAGCAGATTCACATGCAGCTGAGAAAGAAACTTCCGCCTGATCAATATGTAACTAACCAACAGAAAAGATCTTTATTTTCATGGTAGGCATTGTTGCTATCGAAACGTTTACAAGTTGTTGCTATTACTTTGACAAAGTAGGTTATGTTTCTTACTGTTAAATAGTTCTTTTGCAAATATGAAATTAAAATTTCGTTTTTAATTTGTAATTTTGTGTGTTTGTTTACATATGTTTAAAAAGATGTATAAAAGAAAAGGTATGCTGGTAGAACCGACAACAGAAAATGATGAAAATAATCAAATTAACGAAAAGAAAGAAGTTTATGGCAAAAACGATGACTGTAACCAGACAAGAGACAATGAAAATGATAACAAATATGAGGAAGACATCGCCGACCTCTCAAAAGAAATTTGTTTTGTATGGAAAGTGAATGATTGGATTGCTATTGTATATAAAAAACAATGGAATATTAGATATACTGTGGAGGTAATATTATTCAAAATTTTCAAGTTTTTGTTTTGTTTTACAAAACAGTGCTCTAAAACAAAAGCAATATAAATAAAATGTAAAAATAATTTGAGAAAGACATTATATTAGAATTTATAAATTTTACTGCATGTAAACAAAATAAAACAAATCATAAATTCTATATTATATTATTTTAAAATGTTGCGCTAATACTTTTAGGTATCTATATCTGGGATCAGAGTTAATTGTATGAATAACAAGAGAAGAATACTTTTCGCTGGCCAGTTACTCCCTAAGAGAAAAACTACCAAACTGAAAAAATTATCTGTTTAGTAAATGCTCTTTTTCTAATCAATGGTTGTGGCGATTATTCATTATCCGAAAAAAATTATAATACAGGCATATCACTATTCTTAGAGAAACTTACTGCAGCAGAGTATAATATATGTGTAATGTGGTGGATAATTTGTTTTATGTGTGTAAATAACTCTATTTCTGAATGAACAACTAATTTTTAAATGAAAATACATTTAAATATTTGATTTATATTTCATTTAAGTAGCAATATAGTTTTCTAGCTGTTTGATTTTTGTTCAGTTTTTAATTCATGTTATATCATATGTGTGACAAAATCACACGAGTTTTTTTTATGATTATGTTAGGACTATGTTGTATTCTATGTTAGGACTATGTTGTACATTTGGACACGTTTACATTTTAACAAAACTTAGCGCTTCAGCCGTAATGGATCATTTTGTAAGTATACTTTAGCATTTTTTTTCAATTTGAAACCTTAATATATGAGTAGGCCTTAGATATCACATAACTTTCTTTGCATTTTTAGACTCAATACCTACGATACTTTCAAATCCTACAAGAAAAATCGTGTGTCGTTAGAAATAACCCCCTATAAAAATTGACACAACTGAATGTTTTTATACTTTTGAACTATAATAATTAGCCAACCTCACAGTGCCACGCAATTTTTTTATACTTTTTGGAGAGAGCTTTTGGGTTACGTCTAATATTGACTATAAAAGTTATGTGCAACTTTTTGCCTTGCCAAAAAAACGGTTTCAAAGGTGGCAAAAACTAAATTTTTCAAAAAATCTCAAACTTTTAAACCCGGATTCCGAGTGAACGAAACATTTTTGAAAACTTTTTTTTTCTCTAACAGGTTTTCTCTATATTCTGATCACTATATAAAAAATTCAAGCAATTTAGAGGAAGTCCCCAGTGGGCATTTCGACGTCGAACGAACGTCGAGCGACGTCGGATCTCGACGTCGGATCGACGTTGGGTTTACGTTGGAAATGGAAATGTTATTTGACGTCGGATAAAATGACATCGCGCGACGTCGGCATTCCGATGTAAATCCAACGTGTTTTTTGAAAACTAAAAAACGTTGCCTTTGGCAGGAATCGAACCTCGGTCTATTAGATACTAAATCCTATGCGCTTACCACTATACCACAAGGACATACTAATTGATGCGTTTATTTAGTAATTTATAATTGTAGCTATTTGGGAATTATTACTTTGATAAGAAATAATTTTGTTTAAATATTATATAAATATTAAAACGAATAGTTATATGTTATAAAAAATGTATACTCGAAAATGTTAATAGTTAAAAAACTATGCCAGTGCATCATACAAAACCTCATGATGTTTTATCAACCTTTATTCAAACTTTTTTCCATTAATAAAAAAACACGCTTAGTTCACATAATTATTGAAGAGCGCAATTGCACACATATTGTTGGGTTTGGATTAAATTTTCATCAGCGATGTCTTACGACGTTGTTCCGACGTCGTTTTAAGGACGTTGGATTGACGTCGGAAGACGTCAAAAGACATCGGAGTACGTTATTATTATGACGTTGCCCGACGTCTTTTTATCAACGTTGGATCGATGTCAGTACTGCGACGTTTTTTGGACGTCTTTTATAAGATGTCGGAACAACGTCAAAATACATCGAAACGACGTCAGGGGATGTTGAAATAAAGACATCGCCCGACGTCATTTTACTGACATCGGAACAACGTCGGAATAGGTCTTTTGACATCGCTGATGAAAATCAAACGTAAATCCGACGTCGGATTGACGTCGGGTGCCCACTGGGTCACTTCCACAGTTTCAGGAATTCGCCTGATTCTTACAAAAAACGGCTCTTATATCAAAAGGAAATTATTCTCAGTTGTACGATGATTTATTTGCTTAACTTGAATGTTACATTCCTAAAATAATTATTTTTTAAGGTTTAATTTTGCTTTTTAAATGACTTATTAAACGATTAATGATTATTTATTGGATTTTATTGAGCGTTTAATTCGATAATCAACGTAACACAATAAGTAAAAAAACTTAAATATTCAATTCTAGAATTAAAGATACAATTCAAAATTTAATATTAATTTTAATTTTTATTTAAATTAATTTAATTTAAAGCAATTTAATATAATATTAGATATACAAAATAGAATTAAATATACCATTCTATGCCTAACCAAACTAGAAGATAAACGAGTTAAAAATGATTTAGTTCAGCAATATAAGATTGGTGTTGAGAAAATTGAATTTATTGTGCCTCAAGTCCATGCGCATACGCTTTTCCAGTATAACCTTCGTGACAATTGCTTAAGACTTGCTAAGCCAATAGTCAAGAACTGTGTCGAAAGAGAAAAGTTCTTTACAATTGCGTAGTCAACACATGGAATGCTTTACCATCAAGCGTTGTTAACTCCTTTTCAACCATTCAAAACTTGCATTTTCAACGCATTCAAAAGTCGGTTCGACGCACTAACAGTATAAATATAGACACATTGTGTGTCCAATATTTGCCAGCACGGAGGTGCCTGGTACTACACCTCTTCATCAATATATTACAAACATTTTATTCTTCATAGACTAAAATTGTTACAAATATTACTGATTTCTGAAATTTCCTTGGTGTGTCAAACTTTTTTTGAATAAAATTTTATGTGAACGTATTGAAAAGTATGAAACCACAAGCAAAAAGTTAATATTTTTATAACATATATTGATGAGGTTAATTTCAAATTTTGATCACTAATCCGCAAGCGTCGTTTGAATTACACACACACACACACACACACACACACACACACACACACACACACACACACACACACACACACACACATACACACTAGGTTGAGTGAAAGTATTTTATTATTAGCAACAAAAATCGTTTTTCTAACTGTGTCTCAGAGGAAGTTTAATTGTACTTTAGTACTATATACATAATGATACCCACATAAACGAACTTAAAAAATATAATCCTTTTAAAAAAAATTTAAAATGGTAAAAGTTTTTTTAAAATAACGGAATTTTGTTTACACTTTCGTTTTCATTGTAAATTTAAAGTTCGAGATTAAAATTTAACATCTTAAAATAAGATAGTCACAAGTGATAAACTGCCGAATTAGTATTTTCTATATAACGTTGATGCTTCGGTAAATCAGAACATAAAAATGACAGTGAAAAAAATGACAGTTAAAAATATATCAACAGTATTTTAGTCTGTGTGCGTGACGAAGTAAGCGGAGAAGTCATGTTTTAAGTAAATGCGGCATTAAAATTCATATTAAACAAAAGCAATCGTTTTAACATCAGAATAAATCCTTTAAATATGATTTCACATTCTTTTATGGCGTCATTTTTTTAGTATGATTAATATAGTATATTATTAATATTATATAAGTATGTAAATATGAATAATATAGTATATTTAAAAAAATGTATATGAAGTAATATGTCTAGTTTATTATGTCCGCATGAATTATACGGATATAACCAACCAAATGTTATATAGTATATAACATTTGGTTATATACTATATAACATTTGGTTATAATATTATTATATACAATATTATTATATATAATATAATATTATTATATACAAGTTATTTTTAATACTGTCATTAAATTTATAAATAAACAAAAGTTAATTAAAATGTTTAATGTATTCGTATCTAATTAGTAGTTTATCAAATTTAGTTTTTTAGTTTTAAAGTTTTTTTTTGTAATTATAATAATTTTTTTTCTTTTTTTTTTATATGTATTTTTTGTATTGTATGGTTTATAAAGTTTTAGTATTCCTTTTTATTTTAGACTAAATTAAAATTTAAATGAAGCATAGAAATGTGTTGTTTTTTTTTCAGTTGCTTTAAAAGCAGGTACTCCATGATTAGTTATTCTATTCTAATGATTGTTTGTTATGTTTAAGTGTTTTTTTTAAATAAGATTATATTTATTAAGAATATATTTATTATTAACCGTTCTTAGAAATACATTTTAAACAACTAAGAATTAAAAAAACATTAAAAAAAAAAGTGATTATTTGCATATTATTGATGCCATCTGTGAATCATTTTATTAGATTTGCAATATTGGATGAGAATATTTTTTAGTACAACCAGTTTTAAAATTAAAAAACTAAACTATATTTAGTGTATTATTTACACTATAACTAGATTATAACCAAGATAATGATTAAAAGATGACTTAAAAGATTGAAAGCTATATGAATCAGGAAAACAAGATAAAAGGGTCAAATTCCAAAAAGCTAGTGTTCAAGGAAAAAAACTAGATGAATAAAAATTTTTGGAGCACTCAGGAACAGTCACAGTAAAAGGATGAGTTAGTTGAGTAACACGAGAATAAATTTTATTAGAGGCGCTAGTTCTTTAGAACAGGACCCGTTATAGTATTTACAGAAAAGGTAAAGCCAAGTAACATTACGATGATGTGACAATGGTTGAATGTTGGCTGCATAAGCAGGTCCAACCATGTTTACAATGCGTTTTTCTCCTCGTCTTAAAGTGAAAGGGCATCATTCGAAGATCTGCTCCAGGTATAGCAACAGTTTTCCATACAAGAACGGTTTTGAGATTTATAAAGATAAAGAATAGAATCTGGAGTATAAAAAAAAACGGCGAGCACAATAAAGAGATGCAACCTTAGCAGATGCTAATTTTGCAATTGATTTAGTATATGGTTTCCAACAAAGACTGGAAGTAAGAGTAAATCCTAAAAGACAAAAGGTAGATGACTCATCGATTACATTACTGTTCATAAATATAGGAAGATCTAGACTGTTGCAATAACAATTAGCTGAAAAAAATTGAGTTTAAGTTCACCAGCTGCTGAGAGCCCCATGGTGTAGCAGAAGTGAGATCTTTTTCAAGTTTAAATGCCCCTTTTAAACAATCAGAGAGTGCTGGCTTCTCATCAAGACAAGAATAAATGGTAAATCATCAGCGAACAATGCCACCCTAAATGCAAGAATTTTTGGGAGATTGTTAATGTAAATTAAAAAAAGTATAGGGCCAAAAATAGAAATTTGAGAAACCCCTGAAGTTACAGGAAATAACAAAGAGTGCTATCCATCAAGGATTACTTTTATACTACAATTAGAAAGAAAGGATTTAATAATCTTAAAGATACACCATTAAAATAGAACTTATGGAGAGGACCAGCATGCCAAACTTTATCAAAGGCTTTAGAAATGTTGAAAGCGATAGCCTTAACCTCTACATCTATCTAATGCACAGTAAAACCTATCAGTTATTTCTGTTAACAAATCATCAATAGAATGAGAAGATCAAAATCCATATTAATAATCAGAAAGTTATTAGATTCAAGATGAGAGATTAAGTGTTTGTTAATTAAAGACTCAAAAACCTTGCGTATCATAGGAAAAAGACAAATGGAACCGTAGTTAAATGAGTCAGATTGTTCTTTGGAATTTTTGAAAATAGGGATAATAGATGTCGCTTTTTAGCAGGGTGGAAAACAAGATTGATAAGCACTTGTTAAATAGTATTAAAAATAAAGAAAACATCTCTGGAGAACACTTCTGCAAGACTATAACAGGTATGTTTTCTGGAACACAAGCCTTAGAAGAGTCTAAGCAGGAAATTACTTTAGATACAGAAGCAGAAGTGATATGAATGATGGATCAACCTGTTTTGTCAGTTATATCAGGTAGCTTGTGATTAGTGGAATCAAGAAATTGATGATCAAGAGATTGTTAAAGATTCTCCAAAAGTCATGAGAGCCTAAAGAGGGAATTCATGCCAACTTGAATCAAGGAAGTTACAGCGCTCGAAATAGTGGCCGATCAACGATAAATGATCGGCTACTTTTAAAGTTGCAAAATAATTTTCATAACCTAAATGTTGCAGTTAAACTCAAACCATATGTAAAAATATTTAATGATTAGAACCTAGATAAACTAAAAGGAATCTAGGACTATTTTAGTATATTTCTAAGAAAGTACTAATGTATAACTTCAAAGTCATTTGGATTACTAGAAAGTATAATTAAGACATCTAAAACATGCATTAAAATGTTTTAATACATTTTTTAGATGTCTAAAATATGTCTTGTGCCCACATGTTTTTATCTGTAATGCACAAAGATAATATTTTATTAGTCATGAAGTTCTTGAGTTAGATTCTTCTGAGATTCTTCCCCCTTTTACCTGTGAAGCAATGGCAGAGTAGAAGCTACCGTTAAATTGACAAATCATTTACTGAAAATAAATATCAGCCCAAGTGGATCATTAAATACAAGTAAGCTAGGAAGAGCACTATTATTATATTCATTTTACATTCAGAAATTCACCAGCCCAAGATACAAATAGCATCCTCAGCTAAGTTAGTATTTATTAGGACTATAAATGACCATTTACCAAATCCAATACAATTGGATGAGTGGTTGGAAATATGCGCAAAACTATAATAACAAAATATTACAGTTCAATAAAGTTTAAAAAGCCTAAATATCACTTTCCACCAACTGTAGGTTTGAGCATGGAAAATTAAAATCAGTGTGGCAACCTCCCTATAAAATGCTAAAACACAAAACAAGTTATTGAAACCTTACCACATCAACAATACCAAATAAGAATACGTGGAAGTCAAAAACATATTAAAGATTTATACAAAAAATATTTCCATTGATAAGAAACTGCAGTATTTTGAATCCTATTCATGAATTTTATCAGAGACCAAAAAATTTCAAAATAATTTACTGTAACAATCAAGTTACCTGTGATTACTAAACCAATAATGTCACCCACAACAACACCCACAACAGCCAAACAGATGAGTGTACCTAATTCATCAGATATAATTACCCTCAATGAAACCACAAACAGATATGATAATGATAAAAATCTAATAATTGTACATAAGTTGCACATGAAAGAACATTAACAAGAGCATGTAATACACAGGTTAAAAGACTGCATGTTGTATAAAAAAACAGCTTCCATAATATACCATATTAATTTTACATATATTTCACATTTATATAGTCAAAATATTGTTTTTAATTTAAATTAATATAAAATCAGATATGGCAACACAAAGTATTGCTTCAAGAATTAAATAAACTTAAATATAAACTTTTAAAAATTTTTAGTGATCAAGATGCTGACACATGCCTTGGAACAATAACTGTATGATTTTATTATGTTTAAATTATATCATTTAATCAAAATAATTATTAGAGTTGGGGGGGGGGGCAACAAATATTTTTTTCAGCAGTTTGTTTATTATCTTCTTTTTTTGAAAAAACTATGGATTTAAATTAGCATAAAATGTTGGCAAATGTATATTTGTATATGCTATAGTGGATGTATTTACACTCCCTGCATGTTCTCTTTACTTAAGTCAGTTGATATATTTACACTCCCTGCATGTTCCCCGTATTCAACTAAGTCGATGTGCATACACTTCCTGCATGTTCTCTTTATTTAAGTCAGTCGATGTATGTACTCTCCCTTCATGTTTTCTTTTTATTTAAGTCAGTTGATATATATACACTCCCTGTATGTTTTTTCTATTCAAGTCAGTTAATGTATGTACACTGCAGTGTGACTATCTGTAGATAAATTAAGGTTAGCAAGGGTTGAGATTGGACTCATTTTTTTTTTGTACTTATTTTTCTTGGGAAAAATGCAGGGGTTTGTTTTTTTGGGAATTATTTAAAAATTCATCATTCAAGTTATTAAATTTAATGTTAATAAGTTTAATTAACTAAACTTTAATGGCAATTTTATTTTATTTCTTATTTTCAGATTTAAATAGAATAATAATACTGAAGTTTACTAAAATTCTTTTTATTTTGTTAAGTTTAAAGGTTTACACGGTTGGAGTAGTACTGTATAAAAAAATATATTATATATATATATATATATATATATATATATATATATATAATATATATATATATATATATATATATATATATATATATATATATATAAAGCATAAAACAACAGCTGCATAAACTAAATTTTTTCTTTGCAATATTTTGACCTGTTTTTGCACAGATCGTCATCAGATGTAAAATATAATACAAAAGACCGTTACAAATATAAATAGAAGTCATAAATGATACGTAGCAACATAAATATATAATTAGCAAATATTATAAAGTCAGTTTTTTTAGATAATTTTGTTAAAAAAAGGTCTCCAACTGTTTGTATAAATTTCAAGGCCATTGTCACGGTTAAGAAGTATAGGATTGTGATTTATTTCCTGGTATGTTGAGGCGTAATTAATTTCAAGTGATTCTCTAACTTTACGTTCATAATATTCTGATTTTATTGTTAGAGTTTTCGGATTTGACCAATCAAACATACCATTACATTCTCCATCGTGTTGCACCAGATGCATCCCATTTACCTTTTAAATAGTTTTTGTGATGTTCAATGTATCTGGTTAAGATTTTTTTTTTTTTGTTTCGCCAATGTATATACTGCCACAAGAGCATGTGATTTTGTAGACACCGGGATTGCTATTGGGAATTAACTTTGACTTGTTGTTGCATAAGATGTTTTTTAATGAGGTGGTGTAGTAAAAATAATTCTGACGTTGTAATGTTTAAGTTCTTTTCTATGTTTTGGACCTATTCTTGGGAGCCATGGAAGCTTAACTGTATATTTACTTGTTTCTGCTTTACTATAGTTTATTTTAGAAAGGTCTAAATATTATTATTAAGTAAAATTTGTTCCACAAAGTATCTTAATGGTGAAATACAGTTTTTAGTAAACATGTTTGCAGAAAATGACAACCTTTCTAAAATAAACTATAGTAAAACAGAAAAAAGTCAGAGAATCACTTGAAATTAATTACACCTCAAATCATACCATGAAATAAATCACTTCTCAACCATGACAATGGCGTTAAAATTTATACAAACAGTTGGAGACCTTTTTTTAACAAAATTATCTAAAAAAACTTATATAATATTTGCTAATTATATATTTACATTGTTACATATCATTTATGACTTTTTATTAATGTTTTCTATGACATTTTTTGTAGTAATTGTAACGGTTTTTTCTATTATATTTTACATCTGATGACGATCTGTGCAAAAACAGGTCGAAATATTACAAAGAAAAAATTTAGTTTGTATGCAGCTGTTGTTTTATGCTTTACATTTTAAATTTATATATATATATATATATATATATATGTATATATATATATATATATATATATATATATATATATATATATATATATATATATATATATATATATATATATATATACACATATACATATATTCACGTGCAACAAGATATGGCATTGAAACATTTATGCAAAAATATTTGTTACAAAAGTTTGAATGATAATTATGTTAGATATAAGCGCTATTTACTAATGAAAAGAACTCAAATAAAATTGATAATTTATTTTGTTTTAATTTAATTGTAATTATTGATTTTTTCGCTTAAAAAAATGCAAATACTTGAAGCAAAAGATCAAATGCAAGCTTGAAGCAAAGATCATAATAATATAATTTATTTCTGATAAAAAAATATATGATTTAATTTAGATTTTAAAAATATATAATTTAATTTTGATTTAAAAAATATATCTAAGTTTTTAAAAATTAAAGTTAATGCTTGGGTTCAACTTAAATGTCAAATTTATTTTAAAATATTACTAAGTATTGTTCAATATTTAAATTTAAATTGTTCTTAAAAATAAAATTAGCTCATTTTTATCACAATTAATTTTTTTTTGGTTTTCCTTCCTAAACATTTTTTTATTACTCAAAATTAAATTTTTGATAAACAGCGGCATCAAAAATTTGCACAAAATGTGAGTTAAACTTTTTTTTTATATGGCAAGTTTAATCACAGCGATTATTTTTTTAATAAATGATATATACAGCGATATAATTTTAATAAATGATGTTTGGAAAAATAACCTTTGCTTTCACAACAAAATCATTAATAAAATAATAAAATTTTAATAAATAAAGTAAATAAATTAATGTAATTTTTTTTGTGTAACTCAATAATATTTTTAAATAAAAAATCATTTGTAGTTGCAAAGCCGCAATTAGAAATTTAAGTAATAATCATTTAGAAATTCAAGAATTTAACATATTTTAATTTGTTAATGCAAATTTCGAGAAAAGAAAGAAATTTGTTTATATCAAACATTTTAAAAAAATGTAATTTTAAATTTAATTATTTAATATTAAAAAAAAAATTACCTAATAATAAAAATTAAATTACTGTAATAATAAAAAAGAAGTTAAATAACATTTAACTCCTTTTGCGGTAATTAATATTATTGCAGTAATTTAAAAAAGTTAGTCTTTAAAAAATAAAAAAATAGAGAGAATTTTATGTCGTCAAATTCACATTAAACTATTGTGTTAAGCATTTTTTATTTAAAACAAGGCGTATATATATATATATATATATATATATATATATATATATATATATATATATATATATATATATATATATATATATATATATATATATATATATATATATATATATATATATATATATATATATATATATATATATATATATATATATATATATATATATATATATATATATATATATATTATATATATATATATATTAGGGCCCTGCGAAATTTCAAATAGAATTAAATAAAAATATGATTGGAGATATGATTCGAAAATTTTCAAAAATCGAATCCTTACTTATTTTGTTTTTGTTGTGGGTATTTTAGATTTTCTGCGCTTTGGCGCTACCAAAATAACGTTACTTATCCATAAATACCTTTTTAAGCAGTCATTAAAAAGGTTAACCAGGGCAAGAAGAATCAATAAAGAGATTATACAATTGTTTTATTTTATTTTGAAATATATATTATTAAATAAAGAATGCTTAAATTTCGACTCCAAAAAGTTGATTCGAAACGTGATTTTAAACGCGAATCAAGACCTGCTTTGATTTGAGATTCGAAACAAAAACTGCTGATTTGCTGGGTCCTTATATATATATATATATATATATATATATATATATATATATATATATATATATATATATATATATATATATATATATATATATATATATATATATATATATATATATAAATAAATTAGTAGAAAATCACTTAACAAAAATTTTTTTTCATTTTACACTGTGTTTCATCAACAAGGACTTATCAGAAATGAATGATCAAATTGATAAAACTTCAATTTATACCAAAAAATTAAATTACAGGAAGTCGCAAATGTTTTAACTACTGTAAATTTTCACACATTTGTGGAATTTGCTGACACTATTATAAAAAGAATTCTTTAGAAATGATTACTTTTTTATATAAATATTTTTAAAAAGGGGGGGATTTAATGTAACTATTATTTGAGCTCACTTATTTTTATAGTTTTTTAGGAGAAACTTGTTTTCGTGCCTGCATTTAGAAATCAATTCCGATTTTTTGTTTAACAAACATTCTTGTTTTGCATGTGTAATTATTTGAAATTTTTCTTGTAGACATAGTATGCATTTTTTGGAAATATTGCTGTATGCAGGTTAGGGTGGGTCACTTTTGAAATATTTTTGAATTTAGGTTTGGCTGGGCATTTTTCTTATGTCTTTGACTGTATGATAATGAAAACCAATTCTCTTTTTATTTGCATTTAATGTTTAGTCAGGTAATTTTCAGCTTGAAAATTTTAGTTTTATCATAAATATATAATTTCCCCAGAGTTTTGTCAATTTTTTTACTTTTGCCATCTTCAAACCATTTTAAATCAATAAATGTCTTAAACTACACCTATTTTATCAATAAAAATGTCAAAATATGATCCTAAAATATTGCAACTAAGGGGGGTATTTTACCACAGAAATGGGTAACAGTTAATTTTTTTAAATGTATTGATGACGTATTTCTGAAAATTTGTTTATGTACGCTAAAGTCAGACCACTAGTAGCAGTTTTATTAGTTATTAAAAGGAAGAAATAATAACGCATGTATTTATTGTATAAAAATAAGTTTACAGTTTTTAAAGAATGGCTCAAAACACTTGTGATAAAGTTAAATGTAAATTAACAAAGCTAATTGGTACAGGAAAAACATTATTAGAGTCAGAACTACCAACTTTAAGAGATGTTTTATGATATGGTCTCTTTCTTAGAAGGATTGAAGAAAATAACCAAAATTTAAGGCTTACTTCTGAAAAATTGTGGACCTCAGTAAAATATTTATGGCAAAAAGCTAATCCACTTATACCCATTATCTCTTATAAAAAAGGAAAAGAAAGAATCATATATGACTGGAAAAAAGCATATAATCTGGCGTCAGGTAGGGGAACATTTAAGCAACTTTCTGATCATAAATTAATCTTAGATAAACTGTTTGACATAGCTAAGTGTAAATGTTCAATAAAATCATGCGAAAAATCCAATTGTTATGGCTGCAACCAAGTTTTTCATATTGTTTGCAAATGTTCTCAGGAAAATAAAATTCCTATTATTGAACTTTAATTTTTAAAGTCACAGAGGGATAAAGTTGGTTCTAAAAGTGGAATGCAAATAGGTTCAGTTGATAAAAAAGAAGTATCCAGACAAAAAAAATACCATCAAAGAAAGCAGAACAAATCAAAGAGAGATAGGATTGAGACTGTACAGTATTCTAAAGTATTATCTCAAAATGATGTGGAGTCAGACAATGCTGACAATGATTATAATGACAATCTTTATTTACCAGAAATAAAAAAAGTTTCTTAGCTAAATACTTTAAATGTAAATCATATCGCTTTGTCAGCATTACGATTTGGTACAAGTAACAGAGCAACTGCATCAATAGGCACTGCATTATTAAAAGCAGCCAAAGATGCAGGTTTTTTGAAAGATCATATACTTGATAAACACCTAGCTCTAGATCATAAAAAAATTGAGAGATCAAAGCAAAGAGTAATGAATGTCTGTAAAGAGAGACATAATAATGAAGTTAAGAAAGAGGGCATACAATGTATTATGTTTGATGGTAGAAAAGACCTTACTAAAACAGTTGTATATGGCAATGATGGTAAATCTTATCCTAGGGAGATCAAAGAAGATCATTATAGTGTCTGTTCTGAACCTGGTGGAAAATATTTATTCCACTTTGTAAATAATTCAGAGGAGAGAGAAGCTCGAACACCTGCTGAACATATTGCTGAACAATTATATGATTGGATAATAGCACATGGCATTGAAAACCAATTAATTGCAATTGGAGGAGATTCAACCAACCTTAACACAGGTTTTATTTTTATTTCTTTAAATGGTTGTTCAAAATTTTATGTACTTCTTTTTTTTTTTTTTTACTGAAAATAAAAATTTATTTTAGGTTGGAAGGGTGGAATTATTCAATTTTTAGAGAAAAAACTAGGATTCAAACTTATCTGGATTATTTGTGCGCTACATACCAACGAATTGCCACTTAGGCATTTAATGTTAGCTTTAGATGGAAAAACTTTATCTGAAAATAGATTCTCAGGAAACATTGGAAAACTTATTAACATAGCAACAAATCTTCCTATTTTGACATGCATCCCTCAGCTTGATTTTGTTGTAGACCTAATTCATCTCGAGAAAGAAGTTGTAGATTAACTGTCTACAGATCAGAAGTATTTATACAGAATACATAATGCAATAGCATCAGGTGTTTTTCCTGATGACTTGAAGGAGATTCAAATTGGTCCACACAATCATTCAAGGTGGTTAAATCTCGCAAATAGACTACTTCGAATCTGGTGCTCAGAGCATTGTTTAAAAAACAAAGATCTACAAAACTTGAAATTGTTAACAGAGTTCATCATGGGTGTTTATTCAATTATGTGGTTTGATCTTAAGGTAAGAAACTTAGTTATGTAAATAAAGATATAATACAATATTTTACTTAAATACTATAATTTACTTTAATAATTGTAAAACAATAGTGAATTATGCTAAAGAAAAGTAATTGACTTTAGACTAAACATAGCTGGATTCAAGGTCCACATCATATCCTTAAGCAACTAGCCTTGGTAAAAAAACAGAACAAGTTTGTGAAGGATATTGTATTACCGCATGTCTGCTCCTCTGCCTAGAATGCACACAATGAATGTATTCTTCAGACAATGCTCTGTAGTTCAGATGAAGGAGAAAGGAGATTTGCAGTGCAAAAAATAATTGATTTTAGAAAAAATAAGGATGTTGGAGACAGAAAATGCAGGATTAGAAGAATTATTTGATTCAGTGTTTATAAACCAGTGATAAACACTGAATCAAATAATCTAATAGATTTAATCAATTGGGAAACAGAGGAGATCATTGAACCGGTTCTTACTTGTTTGATTAGAGATGATATTATACAGTTTATTAATAATCCAATGGTTGTACCAAACTTCCCTATTCACGGTCAATCTATTGAACGCATTGCGAAAGAGGTCACCAGGGCTTCAACGTCAGTGTTTGGTGCCGAGAGAAGAGATGGGTTCATAAGGGCTACAATGGCTCATAGAGAGCTGATGCCTGTGTGCCAATCAAAATAAGATCTGATGAAAATTTTGTAATCAGTATTTTAACTTTTATTTTAGAAAAATATGCGGAAAATGCTGTTATCAATATTCTAATGTCTTATTACGTGTATAGACTTAATATACCATAAAATTTTAATTTTTGATGTAACTTTAATATATTGTTGATGTAACTAGGTTAACTAAGGCTCAGGAATCTTTTTAGACTTTATTTTATTGAGTAGTAGCAAACCATTTTTCATAACTTCGCATAAACGATATATTTATGATAAAACTTAAATTTTCAGTCTAAAAATTACCTGACTAAACATTAAATGCAAATAAAAAGAAAATTGTTTCTCATTATCATACGGTCAAAGACATAAGAAAAATGCCCAGCCAAACCTAAATTCAAAAATTTTTCAAAAGTGACCCACCCTAATGCAGGTGCTGTTTTAAGAATGGACCAATTCAGTATAAAATCATCAATATTTTTATCTTTTATTTCCCATATATATTTTGACAGCATGGTGTCTTTTGAATACTTTTTATTTTTAAAGGATTGCTTATGTTTGGCAAAAGTTTTTTCCATTCACCCTCTGTTATGCTAATATATTGTTTATCAGGTACATTCTTAGAAGAAACAACACATTTATATACCACATTTTTTGATTAACAACTTCCACTCATTGGGCAATTGTTTTTTTGTTTACAATTACAATTTTATGTAGTTTTTCATTTAGGATTTCTTTTTTATTTAACAAAGCATTATTGTGACTTTTTATAATTCTTTCCATATTTTTTGTGCAACTGTAGCTAACTTTAATTGTATTTCAGTTAAAAAATTTTATATAATTTATTAGAGGAAGGGAAATGCTTAACGATCAATTTTAAAAACACTTTTCCTATCTTAGTGGAAACGTTTTTGCTATATGGGGGGTTGAACCAAATTACATTTTTAGTTCTATTCCGTTTTTTTGTATTCTTTTTTTCAGGTTCAATTTTAGTTCAAAATTTTCAAAACCACTTTTTTTAAGGGCATCTTCAAATATTCATTTGGATGAATTAAATACTTTTTCATTAGAGGAGTTTTGGTTTAACCTGTTAATTATTGAAATCGGTATTTGTTTTAGAATTTGTGGTGGATGATTTGAGTTAATATTAATATACAATAATTAATTGTTTGGGTTTTTGCAAGGCTTATACGAATTTTCAGAGAGGTTAAATGTGACATCAAGAAAGTTCACAATTTTTAAATTTATGTTTATTTCGATTTGAAAGCCTTTTAAAAGATTTTAATATTTTAAAAAATTTTTATAATATCTTTTCAAATCTTATTGAGCTGTGGACCAGATTTTTTAGGCATTACTATTAAACCATCGTCGCGATAAAGGCCTAAATCATTATTTTACTTAATAAATCTAAAATGTATAGTCCAACAAACTCACAAATTTCTGCTTCGTCATTACTGCCCATTGTCACATCAAAGCAGTCGTGTATGTTTTTCTTTTTCCAAGTTTCCTTATTAAACAGGAATTATCTTTTTCCGGATATTTCCGGAATTCCGGATATTTTTCAAATTTTTTATATTTTCCGGATAATTAAATAGTTTTCGAAAATACAATTTATAAATTTTTTTCTGTTTATTATTGTCATCAAATGAAACAGTAACAAGTATATATAAACAGTAAATTTGTTGTCCATAAATTACGGAACGCTATATTTAGTTAACAAAGCCAAAAAGATTAAAAGATTTGGGATGGTCCGTAAAGTACGTACGCTCAGAGAGGAAGAGGAGGTCTGCAAATGGCGTTTCTGAGATAAGGGGGCAGTAGGTCAATTATAAAAGTATTAGTGACGCTAAATTTAGAAAAAATATCATAAAATGTTGGGTTAGTAGGTTAAAAGCGTAGGTACTCTTAGGAAGGTTGAGAGTACTCAAAAAAGCGTACGGGAAATTGTGTGTGGGGGGGAGGGGTTAGCGAAAAAAAGCGTATGTACTTTATTAGCAATGCGTGTCAAACTCTTCTCTTTTTTGAAAAAATTGTAAATTTACATTTTTTAAATAGCTCTTAGCAAAGAGATTTCTTTTTTTATTGTTTTAAAACTTTTTTTTTTAAGTAAATCACTTTGCTTATGAGACTTTTCTCAGTTTGTCGGTGGTTCAAAATTTACTGCATCATTATTTCGTTTTCTGTCCAGTCATACCATTGCAAGTCTCTTTTCGTACACACTTCTTGAAAGTATCATTTTTTCGCATAATTTCTTATTAATTGGAGACTTTAAAAAGTTTTGACGATGGTAGAATAAACGGTACTTGTAAATAAAAATTCTGTTACAAAAGCTATGAGAGAAATCAGTTTTTAATTTCCGTCAAATATGAGAAATATCGTTAAATTTAAACTCTTTTGAGATTAGTAAAATCTAATTCTAGAGAGCAGTGAAACAAATAGTTCAATCTAAGAATAAGAAATTTGGTATGACCTTCAACTAGTAGAAACTTCTATTAATCTAACAGTTACTGTAATATCGTGGTGTAACATTATGATCGTGCGGTACAACTTGTTTTCGTAAAGGGTGAAAAAAACTTTTAAAAAAATTTATTATTACTGACTAAGATTAATTACTTTGTTAGTAATAAGTTATTACATACAAATAAGTGTTATATAATAAAACTATACTCTAAACTATAAGGATTTTATTCTGTGTAATTATTTTAAAGAAATCTGAACATATGTACTTTGACTAAACGTCAAGTGAATCAAATTGCTTTTAAGTGCCATTATTAGGTTCTTAAAAACATCGCATTTTGAGACAGGTTTTCTTTTCAATTCAAAAAAGCGCGTGTCAAAATTAATTATATTTTCTTTCAATTAAAAAAAAATTATTTTTTTAAATTTTTTAAATTTTGAATCACGTGAATCATTAATAATGTCTCACCTTTTGTTTATCGTACTTAAAATAAATTTAAATTTTTTATTTAAACTTTATCTAATGAACGTTTAAACTTTTTTGATTTTTGTACGCTTTTTTTATAAAAGAAGAAGTCGTTGTATTTTAAATTAAGTTTAAAACATTTTAAGCACTGAGTGGAAGAACTAATTGTAGAAAACTAACTGATTACAGAAAAATAATTCAAAATCTTTTTACTTTTTATTTATTTATTTTCTTTTTTAACATATTTATTACTAAAGATTTCTTATTTTTTGTATTTTAGAAGTCTGGTGTTTTATTATTATTATTGTCTTTCTTTTTACTGCGATTGAAGTATGCTCCGAAAATAGTTAAAATAAAATTCATTTATATTTTCCAAAAGTTGGTGTTTTACAGGTAATAAAATGTTTACTGAAAGAAGTTGACAAGCAAAAGTGTCGGATATATATCCGACACTTTTGCATATACATATATATATATATATATATATATATATATATATATATATATATATATATATATATATATATATATATACATATATATATATATATATATATATATATATATATATATATATTTCGGTTTATTTTGTTATTTAACTACTACAAAAAAACCAAAACGCTAAAATAAATAATGCCCATGGGATTTCAGTTATGGTGTCGTCTCTGATCTGTAACAACACGTTAAACGTTTATCTGTTTGTATATCTTTGGTGAATTGAAGCAATATTTTATTATCCATTATGTATTTAAATGTATAAGTGGATGTCTAAAAAAGTTTCCGCATTGTTTAACAGCTTTTAAATATAGTTTTCTACTTCTTCTTTGACTTCATCTTCTTCTTCCTTATTGTTATTGTTAAAATTTTGTTATTATTATTATTATTTTTTGATGAAAAAATTATGTAGTTTTTTATTCATATATACGGTGAATAAGGATACTTTTAAACTGGCGTAATATTAAAGAATGGAGGAGAGGACGCCCCCTCCCTCCTTGTTAACATCTTTTTGTAAATTCCGGATTTTTTCCGGATATTACAAAAAAAATTTCCGGATTTTTTCCGGATATTTAAGGAAAAAAATTTCCGGATTTTTATAATATGTCCAGGATAATCTATGATTAAAGTAAAGTAAGGTTTTTCTACAATGTTTTTTTATACGGATTGTTTCTTCAGGAATAACTGTGTGGCTTTTTGCAAATTCGATTGTTTTATTTAAAATATCTGCAGTTATTGGAGGGTAAAAATCATTAATGTAAAATTGAATAAATGTACAGTTATCTTTATTTTTGATTATGGAGAACCAATTTATAACATCAGTGATATTTTTCCACTGTTGCAAATTTAATTTGTTTCTAAGAATATTATAAATTTTGTCCAATTTAATTTTGCTTACATGTCCAATCTCACTTTTTAAGGGAACCAATAACCTACAAGGAGGTTTGTTTTGAAAGTTTGGTTTATGGTCTTTTAGTGTTACAAAGGCTTACACAGTGTAAAATGAAAAAAAAGTTTTGTTAAGTGATTTTCTACTAATTTATAATTGCTCTGTTCTTTTAGGAACATTGAGCACTCTATTTTGTAGAATACATTTTTAAAATTGTTTATATATATATATATATATATATATATATATATATATATATATATATATATACACACACTTACTAAAGCGTGTTTTGATAAGCATTTGCTCACTTTTTCTGCTTACCTTAAGCTATACCGTTTTTTTCAAAAAAGAAGACGAAAAAACGAAGAATGATGAATAGAACAATTGCTTCCCCATCCCAAACCCTCAGTCGATGTAGCAGCACTCCACTGCGAGTCAGGCTATTTTAGTATGACATCAGATTGCTTACCTTAGTGCGCAATACTATTTGTATATATATATATATATATATATATATATATATATATATATATATATATATATATATATATATATATATATATATATATATATAAGCCTTCCCAGGAAAGGCGTGCAGTTTTTCGTCTCGTACGATCTCGAAAATGTTTTTCAAGTTAGAGAACATGATCACGGCCGTTTGCGCAAGTTATATTATATGCGTTACTGAAAAATTGTTCTAAATTTAATAACTGCATAAGAAATTTAAGTAAACTTAAATAGAAAACAATAATAATAGTTTAAATAATTTGTGTGTTGTTTTTATTTTTGTTTTTTCTTAGTGGTTATTATTATCGGCAACAAAATTCATTAAGTCAAAGCAAAAAAAAATAAATGTTTTAGGCGTTAAAAAGGTTGACTTTCCCATATTTTATGTGTTTTTTCTTTTAAAGAGGAAAGAGAAAATATGTATTGTCATCTGTTTGTAAAATATATTTGTATAATTATAATGTAACAAGTTTATATCAAGAGTTAAATTATACGATCGCGTTTGCAAACTCTGTTAAAATATTAGGTCTTTAAAATTTTAGTTCATGCAAAGCTGTGTACTTTGCTTATAAGGAGCAAATTATTAAAAGTTTGCTAGCAAGAAAGTTACAAAAAAACAAAGCAAAAACAATAAACTTACGAAGGATCATTACCAATGGCTTGACACACAGTCGCCTGTTGGTAATATCATAGTTTCAACCCAATGATTGTTTTGAACTATTTTATATGGAGAGAACTTGTTCTACATTTTTTAAATTAAAATTTAAACTTTAAATTTTATTTCATAGTTTAATAAGTAAGTTTACATTACAAACAATAGTAAAAATAATAAGTTTCAAACACAAACCTGTGTAATTAAAATCTAGTTATGTATTAAAGTTGCAGTAGTAGATTAGTGGTAGAACACTCAGCTAACAATCATGGGGTTTCGGATCCAAATCTTCCTTATGCCTCAAGAAGTTCAGCGTCTCCATGCAGTGGCCTTGTTTAACAAAATTTGTGTTTCAGAGTTCAAGATTGAAAATAATATAATATAAGTGAATATCTTTTTAAACGGTAGTGGCTCTGGAACGGCTTTGAAGGTGAATTTGATTTTTAAAAAATTACTTTTGGCATACATTTTAACCAGGTTTAGTTGAGGGATTCCAGAAAAAAATTTGTACTGTCGACACTCATCATAATGTTACATGTTACATATAGCATGTGTTGAAAAATATAAAAATATTAAATTATATTATCATAAATATTATTAAAGCCTTATTAAAGTTATTTTGTGGGCTTGTGTTTTGTTCTACTCTACTATCTACTCTATTCTATTTAGTCTTTTACATGACTTTTACAAGTGATCATTTGCCCTCGGAATTAGAAAAAATGAGGTCGGCAAAATTTTGCCTAACTCAAACTGTTAGTGGTCAGCAAATTAAGTTATAAAAATTTAACAATTGTTTATTGTTAGCACTTAAGTATTTATTAGTATGTATATGTGTTCATGCCATAGAAATCATTATATACTTGTGCACACTTTTAAGCATTAAATTTTCTAATTTTTTACTACTTACTGATTATGCTATCCAGATTCATTCTTTCAATTCCACTAGTAGTACTTTTTTCTTGGTGACTAACATCCACCATACCTCATCAGATTATTTGCAATCACCTTATGGTTCTAATCACATCTCTGGCTTCTAACCTGTTCCTCAGTTGTTGTTGTTTTTTTGGTAGTTCTGGCGATGCTTTGATCTGTCTGGAATTTTAATAATTATCTAAATTTAGTAAACAGTTTGATACATGTGATAGTTGGATAGAGTACTGCTAAATTGCAAGAAGTCCATTTAGGCAGTAGCTTGGTTTAAGTTATATTCAAACAATGTTTATCTGCATTTTTACTTGTTTGCTTCTGTTCTGTTTGTAAACTTACACATTTTAACAATGATAAACAATAAATTTAAAAACTTAAATAATTTTAATTAACAAAAAAGTAAATAAGACAAATTTTTTTACATAAACACATTTCTGAAAAGCTCTAGCTAGAACAGAAAGCAAACAAACAAACAAACAGAACACAGGCAAATAACAATTTGCTTCTGTTCTGTTTGTTTATTTTTTGCTTCTGTAATTTAGAAATTTGTTTATGTAAAAAAATTTGTCTTATTTACTTTTGTTAATAAAAATTATTATAAGTTTTTAAGGTTATTGTTTATTTTTTTAATTTATTGTTTATTGTTGTTAAAATGTGTAAGTTTATTTTTTTATCTTTGTTAAAATGTGAAGTTATAATTTTTTCCTACTTCTTGTTTTCATGATTCATTTAGTTCTAATTCTTAGTTTGTGTTGTTTCATTTAGTTTGTAATTCTGTGACATGATGGAGACGGTTATAGAACTACAACATCATAGTATACATTTTGTGTATACAACATTTATTTGTATAAGTTTATATTTAAATGTAGATTGCACGTTAGCCGTTTTATTTGTTAAAATACGATTAAAGTTTTTATTTCTGAATGTGGAATTAAAGAATATAGTTGAAAATGAAGTTTTATTTTAAATTATAGTAATTTTATTTATCTTCTCAACCCCCAAATAATTTTTTAGACTATCAAATATAAAAAAGCTACAAAATTATTAAAATCAAACTGTGGAAACGAGGTAAGATATTTTCCATATGTTTTAATATTTTAAAAGTATCATGGTTAAACCTTTTATTTAATGTTTGTTAATTAGTAATTTTAAAATTTTGAAAAAAAATAATAACAGTTTTAGAATAACAGTATTTAAAGCTTATGGGAAATAAAATTACAACTATGTTTTTATTTTATACACTATACCATTTACTATTTACCTCTAATATTCAGGTTAACAAAGATATTTATATGTTCTCAATTTATTATATTCTATTGTTATTATTTCTATTGTTTCATATTAGACATGCACCATATGTTTAGAAGATTTTTTAAATAACGAAAAGATATATATTGCTCCTTGTAACCACGGCTACCATAAGGAGTAAGAATAGCTTTGTTTCTAAAATCATATAATAATGTATTGAATAGAGTAAAAGCAAGTCAAATGAAATAGTTTAAAGTTTTAATTTTGTTTTTTTTAAGTTTTAGAGAATTAAGAGGTGTATTTAAATATATAAAAACCAAATTTTTCTTTAAAAAGGTTTTTTTTTAGAAACTTAATTTAATTGGAAAAAAGAAGAGGAAAATATGCAAATTGATGGGTAATTAAAATATGCGGTCATTGGGTAATGGAGCGCTTAGTTTAGAGCAAAAGATCCAAGGTTTGAAGCGAGCTCTGGGCATATTTTTGCGCCATTTGTTATAGAAGGAGACATGAACTTTCTATTAGAAGTTTCTAGTTCTTTTTACACTTGACATGGTTTGCTGCTGTTATTGTTGTTGGGGTCACTGTTGTTGATTGATTTACCTACTGCATATCATCAAAATCAAGCTTACGTTTTTTCCTAGCTTGCTTTGCTTTTTTTTTGCTGTCAGCATTTTTCATTCTTTCAAATATTTCATATTTATTAACACACTCCCTTTTGCATCTTGGCACATCTAAAAAATTTAGTTTTTTTTTTTGTCATATTGTTTCCAATTAATTTCAAAGGTTGTTTAGCACTTTGTCTGGGAAATATGTGTTGCTTTCCTTGATCACCAGAAATTTAATTTCATCAAAATTACACCTATTTTTCTTAATACCTATTTTGTTGAATTCTTTTTGCAGTGTGTTTAAATACTTTAAGATATAGAATATCTTTAAGAAAATACTTTAAGAAATACTTTAAGATATAGAATATATAAAAAAAGAGAATAAGAAATACTACTATTTCTTGCGAACCAGAAGTGACTCTGAATGATGAAATATTACCATGATGCTTAACTTATGACTCCACTGGTTGATGAAAAGCTTTCCCTGGTGTATAATTGGAAAACAAATCAGATTAACCTAGGTGTTGCAAGTAGTTAGTAGATGGTGACGTCATTATAAGTTCTACTAAAGCCACAACAGAATAATTTGATGTTTTCAACATTTCCATTTTTAACTCATAACCTTTTAGCAGAAATAACAAATTTAATTTTGAAAAAGTTATACAAGGATACAATTTAAGTTCAATGCCAGTATATTTCATTTTTGAGAGTTTTATGAGCATTTTTCAAAAAAAAAAAAAATTTTGATTATGTGACTGAAAATTTAACCATTCAATGAAAAAAATTATTTATTTTGTATTAAAGTTTTATATCATTTTTTTTCAGAAAAAGATTCTCTACAACTTGATTCTCTACAACGTGAAAAAAATATTTTTAAAATATTCAATAAATAAATAGGAGCAAAAGAATTAAATTTGTCATAACTATTTCTATCCTTTATTTCATTCTAACCGCTTTTACTCTTTATATTTGTATCACAGTAAAATTGCATTTTTATTTCAGAGGGATATCAGAAAATAAATATGTATATGTGTGTCTATGTCTACATATATATATATATATATATGTATATATATATATATATATATATATATATATATATATATATATATATATATATATATATATATATATATATATATAGAGAGAGAGAGAGAGAGAGAGAGAGAGAGAGAGAGAGAGAGAGAGAGAGAGAGAGAGAGAGAGAGAGGGGGGGAGGGATGAGAATGAGAAAAAGAGCGAAAAATTCATCAATTTATATAGTTTTTAGAGATTTTACAAAAATGATTTTGTTTAGGTGTTTAGCAAATTGGTTAAGTGTCAAAAGCAACTGTCCTATGTGCCAAGGAAAATTGAAAAGTGAATTTTATGAAGAACACACACCATTACTCAGAAGCTTCAGTATTAACGTGTAACTCCTCTCAATAGCATATGCAAAATGTGTGCTGGCTCAATGTAATTTTTTAAGTTTTTTGCAATAACATCACATATATCACCTTTAATTAGTAGAATGGTCTTTAAAACTTAGAACTTTGTATCCCCCCTCCCCTCCTCCATAACTCCAAGCTGTCATAATTGCGAAGCGCAAGTTGGCATTTCGCAATTATGCCAATAAGTGCAAATTGGTATTTCGCACTTATGCCAATGTTTATAAATTTATTTGGCGCACTTATGCTAGTTTTAATTTGCAATTATTCCAGTTTTTGCAACTGCTTTCCACTTATGCGAATGTTTGCAAATTTATTTGGAGTACTTATGCCAGTTCTCACTTACGCCAGTTTTTGTAACTGCTTCACACTTTTGCCAATTTTAAAACTGCTTTGTGCTTATGCCAGTTTGCACTTACGCCAATTCGCACTTATGCTAATTCACACTCACGCCATTTGCACTCATGAAATTCGTGCTTATTCAGTCCAGTTTATTCAGAAAAAATTTATCAACCACAAGGTGGTTGATAAATTTTTTCTTATCTTATTTCTTATATAACTTGATAGAATACTAAATCCTTGTTTTACTCTTGTAGTGTTCAGATTTTTTATATTGTTAGTATTTAAAATGTTTGTTATGTTCTTTGTTAACAATATTTTTATTTTACTAGGTCAACGCTCACTTTATTGCTGTTTTCCTTTTCGCAAATTGTACTGCTTATTTCTTTAATATTGAATAGTTGGAAGCCATTTCTTCATATGAACAATCATGGTAAAACCATAACATTAGATGAATTATCGTCAGCTGTGACATGTTTCGGAATGAGCAAATCTACTCGACAATGCAAGTTTACAAACTTGTGTTACAACACTTTGCGTGACGAATACTTGTTTTTGCATGGTGCTAACAGCTCAATGTTTGGTGTTCCAACACCACGAAATGATCCTGCGCTTGTAGATTTATCAGGTGTTGATGATCACAATGCAAAGTATTTTTCATACACTGATGTTCCTTCTTCTTATTTATTTAACAAGAAATATTTATTTGTTGAAGGAAATAGTATTATCTTTCACCGGTTTAATCCCGAAAATTTAATGCATGTTTTTCACGATGATCTAATGACTATTTTTTATACTAAGTCTCTTTTCTATCCACATTCTGAAGTTAATTTGGTTATGACTGATAGACGTGACGAGGGGCCATACTTTGATTTATACAAACTTTACTCAAACTCAATTTATACATCAATCAATTTTACCGATACCGATTTTGTATGCTTTCAAAGCGCTTTGGTAGGTCTATCAAAACAGTTGACCTGGTATCAATATGGATTCAAAATACCACAAGGGCCATTAAACAACACTCATTACCCAAAAAACGATTTGTTGTATTTTAAAAATGATTTTCTTACAAGAATGAATTTGTCAGATATCCCAGATACTAAATGTATTTTGTTATTGTCCCGTACGACCAGCAGAAAAATTTTAAATGAAGCGCAACTGTTGTTTAAGTTATCGACATTTTTCAGACTACCAATTTATTCTGTTAGCCTCGAAACAGATGCATTAAATAACATTATATCTCTAATATTAAGAGCATCATTAGTAATAAGCATGCATGGTGCTCAATTAATTTTAGGGATCTTCATGAAGCCCGGAGCTGTTTTAGCTGAATTATTTCCATACGCTGTGCCTCCAGAAAATTATACTCCTTATAAAACATTAGCAGATTTGATTTCAGTGCGGTACGTAGCTTGGAAAAATAATAATCCTGTTAACAATTATCCACATGAAGAAAGAGAACCACAGCTGGGTGGACTAAGGCATCTACCTAAAGAGCTACAACTTCTTATAAAAAATACAACTACTGTGCCTCCTCATTTATGCTGTAGTGATTCTTATTGGTTATATCGGATTTATCAAGACACTGTAATTGATGTAGATGATTTATTACAGCATTTGAAACAGTTTAATCTTTTAAATCAAAATGATCATGAGTGTCTTTCAAATCACACAAGTTTATTTTGTGCAATTTATCCTTCAGAAGTAACTAACATAACATGTAGAAGAGACAGCGATCGTATTGAAATTTTTTGGGATATCCCTTGGAATATGATTACTTTTGGAGAGACTAGGATTTTGTATGAAGTATTTATTAAAGACTCATTTAACTCTATTGTTAAATTTTTGACTAAAGAAACTTTCCTGGTATACACTATATCAACCGAATCATTAGATTATTCTATATTTATTCGATCTATTTTTTATAAAAATTACGGAAGTTTTTCATTTACAGGACTAAAATGCTGATTTTAAAAAAGTAGGAAAGTAGTTATGTCTAAGTATGTAGATACGGTAAAGTGAATAACTCAATGCGTTCTTGAGACTTAATGCGATACACCTATCTCGATAAGTGTATCGCCTTTGAATGCGAAAGTTCCGCTGCATAAGAATCAAGGATTCTCTAAAAAAATTATTTAAAAAAAATAATTCAGTCTCAAAATTTTTCGAAAACACAAAGTTCAGTATGGCAAAGCATATTGTTATTTAATTGTTATTAAAAAATAAGACAACTTAGTTGCCGTTATAGAAATAACATTTTAGAACAGTTTCTAAAGTGTTGTTACCATGGTATTTAAAAAGTTAACTTTGACGTAAATTTGTCTGATTTTAATGAACGCGTTATAAAAATTTATTCCAATCCAAAGTTGTTTTATTACACTATGTGACGGATTTTTTAATTCCTGATTCCCAAGTGTTATTTTTCAAGTGCTTATGTCTAAAGTCTAGAAACAAACTAATAAATTCAGTACGCGAGTATTCTAATGATTTTTTTATACTGTCCTTTGTTAACGACGTTTATAGGCAAATGTATCGTTAAATAAACGTTTGTCCTATTTTTTCTTATACTTGTGAAAACAAGTATCAAGGAAATATGAACTTTGAGCAGAACTCTTTATTAAAGTTTAAACTATCCATACATTCCCAGTTAAGGTGGTAGTATACCATTAAAAAAAAATCTTGCAATTTAATTTTTTTTTCAATTATTAATAGTGCATAACATATATTATATGATTAAAATATAAGTAAAAATTTAAGAAGTTAAAAAAATTAATTATGCGCATAATTATTTACAGACAAAAGCCTAAAAACGAATAACTGGCGACAGGGTTTTTTCAGCAACCGTAAATAAATTTGAACTGAAATTTTGGCTTGTGATTCTTTACTTATGCAATAACAACATACACTAAAAGTTTTGGATTTTGACCAAAAAAAGTCAAAATATTTGCATTTTAGTCATATTTGGAAGTTTTGGTGTTATTTGAGAACATAAAATCACTCACAAAAGTAGAACACAATTAGCTGTAAACATAATTCTAGTAGAGGTTGCAAATACATGTGTTCCAAACAAGTGTGCCAAATTTCAGATCAAATCGGTTATCGGTTTGAAAAATATCTCCATCGCCAGAGTATAAAACATGATTTTGAGAAAAACTCAATTTAAAAATAAAACAAAAAAAAATTGTTCAAAACTCCCCACTTCCATAAACTGCACCTTCTAATGTTTCGTTTTGATAACAAAAACTTTTTTGTATAGCTCTTAGTTTCTTGCGTCTCAATTTCACTATACTTGTGCATTGTTTTTCTGCTTTAGAAATGCGCTTAGAGTCATTTATAAGACAAAAGTTATATAGATTGCAACCTACTGTTATTTCAAGCTTATCAAATAATGTCTCTAAAAATTGTAGTCCATTATTAAAGTATAGGAAAGCTGATGCTACTCCAACACATAAAGCAGTTCTTTCTACAAATATATCTTCGGGACACCGCTTCCAAATCAATTGATTCAGCGCCTCATTAGGATTCTGTGTTTTGCCGTGCAAACACTTTTCTAAAAGAACATCATTACCAAGATCTAAAAATATTGGTTTTATAAAATCCCTCACAGCAGCAGAAATACAAATATTTTCTTTGTATGTTTTTTTTCCAATTCCATTTTATCAGCCTGGAATTTACATCAAAGATTCATTTTTCAACTAAATTTTGATAAACATCTAACAAGTTATGTAAAGTTTTATTGAAGCTTTTTTTGTTCATAGGTGGTTTCATATTCATTATTCCACAAAATTTTTATAATGACGATAACCCTTTACCCATTTCACGAAAAGCCACAATGACACGTGTGTTAATATCAAATGGTTTTTGCCCACTACATTTGCTTTTACTAGGCTCTTGTTGTTCAAGAAAATTATTTTTACAAAATGTAGCAGATGAAAAAAACTCAGTTTTCCAATTGCAACTGTTACAACATATTTTTAAACCAATACTCAAACCATACTTTTTTGACGAATCAAACATTAAAAAAACATTATCTTCACACAAATTTGGGCATTTAAGTAACAATATAACGTTTTCAAACAGACTAAAGTTCATAACAAAGTTAAAATCTGTACTTTGAAAATCTTGAAAATCTCTATCAGCAATATTTAATTTTTTTGAAGAAGCAGAATGTGTAGCAGATTCAACAAAAGATAAAGTTTTCGTTTCTGAAGAAGGAATCTTTGTATATCTGTTTCCACGAAATTTTGCTTTTTTATTATTGTATATTCTGCTTGATAATTGTTTTCTTTTTGATCCACCCATATTCTTTTTATTGTAAAAAGATAAAAAATATACTACAGCATAAATAATAAAGTTTGAATGCAGCTTGAAACAAAAAGCGAATTACGTCAATAAAGCCACCATGCTGAAGTAATTAACAAGAAGTCGTTGCAGTCTACAACTTTGCACTTAGAATAGTTGGAAAGGTAAGTATTTTATGGTTTTAACTTGTTTCTGAAGCGCATAACAACGGAATAAACAAAGCGTTGCTAGGGGGAAAATAAAAATTATTTTAAACCGATACATTATAAACAGGTTTTAACATGTGAAGCTTTTTTTATTTAGTTAAATCAACTAAAAATTCGAAATCTGCGATGATTATATTGGTTAAATAATGAAAGTAAAAAAAAAAAATTTTTTTTTACTTTTATTGGTGTACTACCACCTTAACATAGATGTGTTTAACACGTATCAAAAACTTTCGCATTTGCTTCCTTTGTTTGGAACTGTTGTACCACATATCTAGTTTATATTTTTAAATCTAACTTTTCAAGAATTTAGCAAGAAATTTTAAAAGTTCCTGTAAAATGTTTTTTAAGCCTAAAACGAAAAATAGTAGACAGCTTCTCTCTTTTTTTTTAAATCGTATTTGGTTGAAATTTGACTATTTTCATATTGTAAATTCCTGATATTTTTTTTCTGTTTAATTGCAATCACATTTGAAATTCTTGCAATTTTGTTTATAAATATTGTAATTTGCAAGAACATTTTAAAAATTTGTTGGTGCTTAGTCGCATTTATTCAACTTCTTACAATTTATCGAATAGCTTTTTTACAAGGAATGTGACAAAAAATCCAATTCTGCTATTTGGAAACATTTCTTACAAAAAGAAAAAAGAATAAATAGCGATGTGTAAGTACAGATTGCAAAATAGTTTTAATGGCTGGCTTAATGAAAGATCTTCATACAGATAAATTCTCATAGCAGCAACTATTTTAGCAAAAATGTGAGAAATCACCAAAAACAAAAATAGCAAAAACGTTAACGAATTATTTTCCGATACTTGAGCGAGAAAAAAAAAAATCACTTCATGCTACACTTGCACGTTTGATGGGATTTAGTTCACCGTTATTTGCCGTGTTAGTGATATACCTGCAGGTCTTATAACTGCAGGATTCAAAAGTTTATCCGAATCAGCCAACACTGTGCATAAAATGACTGTAAATTACAGCAAAAAAATTAAGAACTTTTTAATTACTAAAATAGCTGGAATAAAGGAAACCTGTGTAGGTTTTCTTTATTCTGGTGTAGAAGAAAGATTTTCTTTATCTTTTGATGAATGGACATCACTAAGTAACCGTCATTACTTTTTACTTGTACGAAAATTAATATTAATGTTCGGACGATCACCAACAAAAACAATAGGTTGTATAAGTATATTGCGGTTGAATCTACTAATATTAATGCGCTAGTCCTAGTAAAAGCAATAGTTGAGGCTGTTTGCCCTCGGATCTTAATTTGTTTACAGCCCATGTTGCCAATTTTTATGTAAAAAAAAACTTAAAGATGCTAGCAACGTCAAAAGTTACAATCATCTCTCGTTTTTTTAACAACAAAGGCGTACATGTATAAATGGGACCCTTCAGTATCTGTACAATCATAGAACCAATGTTCTGTCCGGATTTGAAATAGAGATAGTAACAGTTCTGTCTTCAATAAAATCTTGATAATAGTTGAGTTACTCGAAAGACTAGACGCTTTAAATCCAGCTCCAGCATTAACAGCTTATGAGTTTGAATCGGAAATTAAACTTTCTTTTTTAAAAGAAAGACCGCTTAAAATTATTTCTGATTCTTTTGACTCCACATCTGAATCTGTTTAATTTGCTCCTAAAAATCCTTTCAGTAATTTATACCAACTTAATAAAACTATAAGAAAAGAAATGTTGTTTTTTTAAAATAAAGTAACAGTAGGGATTTTTTGCAAAGAGCGTATAACTTTTTAAAAACTCTTTTTCTGTGCTTTTTCTGCAGCCGGACTGTTTTTCTGCAGCCGGACTGTTTCTGCAGCCGGACTGTTTTTCTGCAGCCGGACTGTTTAGGCGATGAAACTTGGATGTACTCTGCTTCCTCAAAACAAATTTTAAAGATAATCAAAAATAATAAGATATGTATATTATATTTATAAAAACAATGAACTCTTTATAATTTAATAATTAAATATGTATAATGTTAAAAAACTAAAGAACTTATAATTTAATAAATAGTTTTTTTTTAATATTCTTGAATGTGTCACGTTGTTAGTTTTTTTGAAAATTTACTAAAATGATATATTAATATCTTTCAAGAAACGGTATTTAAAAATTACAGAATCAATCCCTCGACTACTTAAATAAAATAACAAAATCTTGGGGTTAAAAGTATAACACTGAGTTACATGCCCTTCTTTTTACAGTGACATTTTCTTACTTCTATATTGTACGAAAAACTTTTAGTAAAAAAACCCGTATATTTGACGTTTCTATTGAATAAAAACGTTGTTGATGGTTTTTCGGTTATAATTTGAAGAGAACATCTATAATTTTGCACCGTCAAAGTGATATAACATAGCTGGAAGGAGAACGTTGTAAAAATACGTCATTTTTTAGGGAACCGTTTATGTAGTAACAAAATTTTCAATAAAATACCGCCCAATTAATATAATTTATAGTTATCCAATCACATTCCAATTTAAAAAAATAATTTATCCACAGTGTATAGGAATATGCACTAAAACCATGCAAAATATTCGCAGATATTTTTTTTTTGTTTATCATCAGAAAATTCTTCTTTATTTCAAAAATGTAAAAAAAAAAATTTTACCAAAGACCTGAAGAGAAATCACCTATTTTAGGCAAGTGCCCAGTAATTTTGTTCTTCAAGATAGGTAACTAAGAGTCATGTGGCATACTTAAATTTCTAGTATGTTGATACTATTGTCAAATGATGACTTTCAAAAATTTTAGATAATTGGAGCTAACCCAACCCCGTCCCGACCCCTCATTGTCCCCGTCCTAAAATCATGATTTTTTTGAAGTTCTTCCATAAATTAGATCAAAATTTATTTACAGATTTCAAATTTCATCAAAAAATAAGATTTACGGCAATGTAGTAAAATAAAAAGTTTTAGTGATATATCTCTCACATTTTTAGTGATGTACCTCTCATATTTTTAGTGATATACCTATCATATTTTTAGTGATATACCTATCATATTTTTAGTGATATACCTATCATATTTTTAGTGATATACCTATCATATTTTTAGTGATATACTTATCATATTTTTAGTGATATACCTATCATATTTTTGGGATTTACTTGGGATTTTATTATTTTTTCTGGTTTTAGAAAAACTTAAAAAAAGTTGGACATAGATTAATTCTTTGTTTTTGTTTACTCCTACAATGGGAATTTTTAACCTTTGAACAATTTTCCAATCAGCTCGTTGTTCTCACTCAGTTTAATATTGAAACTATAAAAAAGTTATTTAAAAAATGTTTTTAAGCGTCAAAACCTTACGTGGTATGTAGTTTTAGTTAAACTTTATTCAATTTATCCAAACAAAAGAAAGATTTTTTAATCTAAGTCTTTTCGACAGAGACTACAAGTTGCTTTTAACCAAAGGTTTTCAAAGTTAAAATATTCCCTGATTCATTTGTCCTAAAACCTTTGATAGAAAATTTTCTTGCGCATAGCAATCTGGACGAATAAGTCTTTTTGCAGAATTAAAAACATTTTCGGTACCTTTATAAACAGAATTTTTTGAAACACATTCAACCGTAAGAGCCAACATATTTTACATTTTTGATTTGCGCCCAATTTCACATAAAACATTCGCATTTCCTCCATCTTATAACTCTGGTATTCAGGTCTAAATTTAATAGGGTAAGTCTAGTAACTATAGCTACCATAATAACGTCACTAAGTTTTAACTAAAGTATGTAAATTTTAGCTTCATAATACGATTGCATAGTGAAGTATGGGTCAGTGCTTCAAATAAAAACTTCTGACATTCGTTTATAATTTTGATATGATGTATTAACTCCATTAATTAAATTTTAACATAATTTCAAAAGCATGTTTTCAGTTCATATGTCAAGGCGTTTAAGGAGTTATTAATTTAATTAACAACAATAAAGGAATGGCTAGCCGTTGCTCATTGTTAATACTTGAAATAGTAATTGTAATAACTGAATTCAAATAACTGAAATAGCAATAGTAGTTGATAATTTTAAGTTTATAGTTTAGTTAGCAATTTCACTTTTGAAACTCTAAGTACATGCTTGTGGGCGTGATTTTTTAAGGCAATTTTATGATATACGAGACAGTGCTTCAATCCAAACTACCCCCACCTCCAAGATATGGCTCCTAAAGAGACTTTTTATATTTTGTTGTGTGTTTTACTAAATTAGATTAAAACCCTTAAATAGATGTCAAATCTCATCTAAAAAAATTTCTCGTAAAAAATTTATTGTACGAGGTACAATAGTCTAACTGGAGGGAGAATTTTTACTATAATATTTATTGATATAATATGTATTGATTTAGAGTTTGTTTATTGTTATTTTTTAGTTTGTGTTTTTTTAAACGACTCTCAGTGAATTTCTAAATTAGAATTAAATTAATAAATCTCTAGACTAGAGAAGCATAAGATAACGGAGACAACGTTCAAACAGGTTGTAGAGAATTAAACTTTAATATACCTACTATTAAAATATTCAAAAAATTATAAATTTAATTAGATTGATTTTTGATGTGGTTACTTCGTAATAGTTGGAGCAGTTGTTAAAAACTTATCTAGTAATCTTTTATGAGAGGAATCCACTTCAATTACTTCTTTCAAAGGTTGTAAACTAATTTAAAAATTTTTTTTAATGCAAAAGCACTATTTTGACTTGCCGCTGGTAAATTTTACCAGCGGCAAGTCAAAATTACTACAAAGTTTTTTAGTAATTTTGTAGTAATACAGTAGTAATACTCTTTAAAGAATTATAATTTAAAATTATTCCTTTTTTGTCCAGCTAATTTCTATTGTACCTGCTTGATACTATACTTTACCAGTTTGGCATCATACTTTGTTTCTCTATAATTTCTATCCATGAAATAAATTGTTTTATTGCTTTTCCTATTTTTATAAATCTTTATCTAAATTTTATAAATGAATCATTTTTCTATATCCTTTGCTTGCGGATATTAACACTTTCAAATTACAATTTAAACCTCGTTTTGAAACGGTGGATCATTTTTACTTACTACTTTATAAGAATAAGCAAATAGAATAAATATAATCTTTCTAGTTTATTTATCATACTTGGAGCTGTCATGATTTTTTTTGTTTTGTTTTTGTTTGTTTTTCGAAATAAATTTTAATAAACATTTACAATTTAAAAAGTATATAAATAAAAACACTGGCGGGGCAAGTAGAAAACATTATTTTGTCTTATCACCGAGCTCCAATCGTACGTATTTACAATAACCGTATAATATATTTATACTTTACAAATTGGTTATTGAAAACTATAAATGTAAAATAAATAACAATTAGTTTAAGAAATCCTTCAAGAACATTTATGCTAAGAGTAATAATCAAGTAAACAAGAAAAATTAAAAGAAAAGAAAAAAATTAGAATAATTAATTAATAAATTAAGAAGCACATATTTGCAAGAGCCGTTATAAATACGTACTCTATACAACTTATTTATTAAAAAAGATATAAAAATATATATATAACATTTGTAATAAAGTAATATTTAAATAAAGAACTAAAAATTAAAATAAAAGAGTATTAAATTTACAAAAAACCGTAATATTTATGTATATTTTAAAACCAATTTGTATTAAAGTAAAATAAATGACATTTCATTGATAGCTAAATAAAAAATAAAAAAACTCAAGAATTCAGATTAGATTTCAACAATAACATTCGAGATTAGATGAAATACCATAACTAAATTATAAAAAAAAGTGGTAAAGAAGTATACTTCATTATTACTACTAATGTAGCAAATCTAAAAAAAAAGAAGTGTACGTTTGGCAAATCACAAAACCTCAAAAAATGTTTAAGAAAATATACATTAGTTTTTAAAAACATTAGAATTACAGATAAAAAAAGTTACGCTACTTTGTACCACTATCGATCTTACGATATATCGTAAGGTGTATGTGCCGTTTGTATCGTAAGATAAATGTGCCGTTAAATAGTCGCTTTAAAACAACCAATTTAACGGCATAAAAAATTTAACATATAAAAAAATATTCTTGACACACGAGTTTACTCACAATTTTTTTTTTTATTATACAACTCAAAGTTCAAAATCTTAACACACACGTGCAATAAATATTATTAACAACAGCAATAAAAAAAAATTACTTTAATTATTTTTGCATACAAATCTAAATTTTAAACAATTGTTTAAAAAAATTGTTTAGGAACTTTAAAAATTATATTACTTTGAGAGCAAGTTTATTGACTATTTAAAACATGCAAAATGAAAACGCAAAATAACAACTTTTTGGTAAAAATTCCTGGAATTGAATTAGGATTTCGGGAAAAAATTTCTTTGTTTTATTGCTCCAAACTTTACAATTACCTACCTAAATAAATCTGGGGCAACAACACCGGTTTTGAAGTGGGGGATCACAATCATCAATTTGTGAAAAAAGTCCTCTATATCAAAATTTTTCTTAAAAAAAAAAGTTCCTCTAGAAAAAAAGTGGGGACACCTGGCCCTCCTAGTGTCACCTGGCCCTGTAAATTAGAGAAGGAAGCTTTGGACTTTAGATACATTATTGTTTTTATCATGTTTTTGGTTTAGACTTAAATAAAGAAACTAATTATTCATTTCAGTTAAAATAAAAAAATAATTTGTCACTGTTTAAGTGATACTTGAAAAGTTCATGTTATGTGTGTGTGTGTGTGTGTGTATATATATATATATATATATATATATATATATATATATATATATATATATATATATACAATAATAATAATAATAATAATAATAATAATAATAATAGCAATAATAATAATAATAATAATAATAATAAAAAAATAGCAAAAAACAAACAAAGGTAAGGTTAAACAAAGATAAAAATCTCACCGCTTTATTTGTTTAATATATCTAGGTTTCATGAGATTCTTTTTATAAAACATTAAATCCGTTTAAAGATATATTCTTAAAAATCCCAAAAAAACAAAGACTGGCACTTATAATGCTTGACTTTTTTGTCGATATCTTAAATGACAATCTTAAAAAAAAAGAAAAATAAATCTTTTTCCGGATGCTTTTTAATATTGCCGTAAATAAAGCCGATACATTTAATTAAGTCTCATGTACTTTTAACGCGAGGTAAACAAATGAAACATAAACATTTCCTTTTTGCATTTTAAGTTGAGAAAAAATGTTTAAGTGTTTAAATAAATTTTAAGATTGATACCTTAAATAAGTCATAATAGTATTATAAAATATTAGAACGAATGGGAGAAAATAGAAAATCAGTATGTGTCGTAGGAGCTGGTTTATCTGGATTGGCTGCTGCCAAATGCATGCTTGATGCAGGCTTTAAAGTGATTTGCTACGATGAAAATGAAAGCGTTGGGGGAAAGTGGAACAAGGACAATAATGACTATATTCCACGCTCTATAATAACAAATGTCCCCAAAACATCAATGTGTTTTTCAGACTTTCCACCAAATAATTACCCATTGTTTATGTCTGCAGAAAATTTTTATAAATATTTAAATTCTTACTCAGATCATTTTAATTTGCAGTCAGTTATAAAATTAGGTTGTTCTGTTTTAAAAGTTGAGCCTGAAGAGGCTTTATTAGCTGACACAAAATGGAAAGTTACTATTAAACCAAAGTGTTGCCCCAGTGAAGTGAAGCTTTTTGATATTGTGCTGGTTTGTTCCGGTTTTTATAAAAAACCATATATTCCAAAAAAAATTAAACAAGTTCTAAGTGAATTTAAGGGTGAAATTATACACAGCAGAAATTTTAAGGATTCAAGTCAATACAAAAATAAAAGAATAATTGTATATGGGCTAGGAAACACAGGAGGTAAACTTTTTTTATTTTGCCCAAATTTTTTGATTTCCTTTTGTTTGAATTTTTATGTATTAAAATTGTAAAAAATAAAGATTTTTTCCAGTTTGATCATTACAGTATGCATTTATATTCTGTTTCACGATACAACTTTTAGGAAAACTATTAATACAGTTTTATTTATAGCAAAGTTTAAATTAACTAATTTAGCTTTGTTTTTTAAAATATTATGCACGATTTTGCTTTTAACAAGCTTCTGGTTGTATTGTTGATTTTACAGTAGTTTTAATAAAACTACTGTAAGTTTACAGATACGGATTTACAGATAAAACTTTTATCTGTAAATCCCTTTTTTAAACTATTAAACCATATTATTAAATCATCTTAATACCAAAAAAAGTTGTTATGAATGTTCTTTCATAACCCTTACCACAAATTTATATACCTGAATTTTAAACTTTTTTTTACATAAATTTTGATTCTATAATTTTTCATTCTCTGTTATTATTTGTTTTTATCCTCTGTTATTATTATTATTATTATTATTATTATTATTATTATTATTATTATTATTATTATTATTATTATCTTTTTATTAACTTAGGGATAATAAAATATTTAAATAATGTATAATTTTTTTTTATTTAAAATTAGGTGATATTGCATGTGACTTGTCAAATCTAAATGAAACTACACATGTATCTACTTATAGAGGTACTGTTGTAGTACCTAGAGTCTTAAAAGATGGCTCAATATTTCTGAACAAAAGTAAACTCAGATTGCTTGATTATATTCCAAACTTTATACAAAGATTCTTTTTTAAATATTTACTTAAAAAAATGTTAAGTCATATTTATAATCAGGATGTTCTTGGTTTGTCATCATCTATACTATCTTCTGTTTGCATCAATGATTTATTATGCATGCAGATTCTTTTCGGAAAAGTTGTTATAAAACCTGAGATCTTAAAAACTAATGGGCGTACTGTTTTTTTTTCTAACAATACTTTTTTAAAAGATGTTGACACCATTGTTTTATGCACCGGCTATAAACGACAATTTTCTTTTTTATCTGATAAAGTTGTCAATATTAAACATAATGGCAAATTCATACCATTGTACAAAAACATTTTCTATCCAAAATTTTATAAAAGTATGGCATTTATTGGAATGGCTTCATTAAATGGTCCATATACATTAATGGCGGAGATGCAAGCTCGGTATGCTGCACAGGTGTTTAAAGGAATTATTAAACTGCCAGATGAAAATAAAATGAATGCTGACATAGATAAACAGTTTCAATATCTGAAGCATCATTACAGTGACCTTAAAGAAATAAACTTTGTAAGTATACTTTGTGTCTTTTTTATACAGACATACATACAAAAAAATTCAAAAGTTAATTTTTTTAAAGGTTTTGTTTTATTTTATTATTTTCAAGGAAACTATAAAATGAACTATATGAATTTAAATATAAAGAAAAAGTATAAACTAAATATATATATCAGGAGCTATTCTAGACCATTTTTGACAGCGTTAACCATATTTAAGTGCCAATTTGGGTGCCGCCCAAATGCCCATGTATATATATATATATACATAATATATATATATATATATATATATATATATATATATATATATATATATATATATATATATATATATATATATATATATATATATATATGTATATATATATATATATATATGTATATATATATATATATATATATATATATATATATATATATATATATATATATATATATATATATATATATATATATATATATATATATATAGAAATAAGATAATACATTTAAAAGTAAAAAAAAATAAAAAATATGTATATATATATACATAATATATATATATATATATATATATATATATATATATATATATATATATATATATATATATATATATATATATATATATATATAATATATATATATATATATACATGTATATATATATATATATATATATATATATATATATATATATATATATATATATATATATATATATATATATATATATATATATATATATATGTATATATTTCTTATGAGTCTTTGTTGATGAAACACAGTGTAAAATGAAAAAAAAATTTTGTTAATGTTTAGTGATTTTCTACTAATTTATAATTGCTCTGTTCTTTTAAGAACATTGAGCACTCTATTTTGTAGAGTACATATTTTAAATTGTTTAAATATATATATTATATATTTATATAGTTTTTTACAGTTTTTGAATCAATATTTATTAAAAATCCCTTCACTTTCTTGTAAATTGTTGATTGGTTTTTCTTTACAAATGTGTATTTTACATATCTAACATGCATTACTGATATGCGCTAGGTAAATTCTGCTACAGTAGATTTCTTTGAAATCTTTTAAATGTTTGCACATGTTTTATTTTCAAGTTTTCTCCACTTGACCCAGGTTACATCAAAGTAAAGGTAACAACAGTTTAATAGTGTTTTTTGAACTGTTTCATATCTTTGTATGCAAAGGTATAAATCAGTTCAAAATGCATTTGTCATAGGCATTATTATCAAATAACAAGGCCATAGTAATATAAAATGGGTATCAAATGTCACTTAACTCAGTTAATAACACACTATTGAAAAAATTAGTTTGTTCTCAGAAACTTTACTTTTAATCATTAGTTTTTTACAAAGTTATTCAATCATTAACTATATCAATTCAAAATATTAAAAAGGGAATAGCAGTATAGGGTGGTCTTTAATCAGTCAAAACAAGTGAAAGGTTCAGAACAAGTAAAAGCCAAAACAAGTAAAAGGGAGTGTAACTTTTAAAAACTGAAATTTTGTGCAAAAAGATTTTAGGAACAATAATCAAGCAAAAGTCATTCTATATGTAGATTTGTTTTTTGTTATTTGATTTAGATTCCTGGCAGTGCTTGGCTTTATTTTGAAGATTTAGCTAAGGGAATTGGATGCAATATATCTTTAGTAGCAATTTTTTTTAAAGATCCCAAATTAGCTTGGCATTTATTTATGTACAGAAGTATTTTTGAGTACAGATTATTTGGTCCAAATTCATGGGCAGGTGCTCGCGAAGCTGTATTAAATGAATCAAGTTGTATTTACGATTATCTGAAAGGTTCAAGGAATGTTTGTGAAATATAGGTTTCTGCATTTTTATGAAGATAATTTAAATTTATGTATTTTCCGTATATACTTGGTTTTTTTAATATTATTTTTGTATTTTTTATTTTTTTTAAACTTTTAAATGTATTATCTTATTTCTTTATTTATTTATATAGTTTTATGTAAAGAAAAGTCATTCCATCTGCTTTTCATTTTTATAGATAATAGATTTTTATAGATATGTAAAGAAAAACGATGATTGACATTTTCTGTGTTTTATGTTTCTAAAAACAGTTATTTCTTTGCATTTATAGTTTTTAGAGAAATTAAATCAAATTGAAATTCATTTTCTTTGATTTAAATTTTTTTTATATGTAAAATAATAAAATTTATTATTCACAAAACTCATAGTTAACAAAATTTATAATCACAAAAAAAGGTTTAATTTATTTTAAATTTAATTAATCAAATAAATGATGATTTCAATTTTAATAAATTGTTTATGACCGTTTAGTAAAAAATGAGTTCATTTATAAGAAGTGCATGTTCATATAGTGTTGGTTTTTCAAAATTTTCAAATGTAAGTTTAAAATTTTTTTTTTCTTTTTTCCACCAATCGTTTTTTGTTTTATATAATTTATTTCTTTTAAATTTATACGCTTCATTAATTCTTATTAATGTGTTGCATGCAGTTATAATAGAAATTCTAAATTTTAATTAATTGAAGTAAATCAAAACTACTCACATGTTTTTATCCAATTTTTTTGCTATTTATGTGATATAGTAATTTTAATTAAAATTAGACCCCAGCTAAATTTGATATATATTTTAAACTTACTTGTGTTGATTGTTTTAGCTTGTATAAATAAGAAGTTCTAGCGTTAGGCTCCAATGTTCAGAATCCAGGAATCTATGTTTTTACTTAGGCAAATAGAATCCCATAAAGTTTTAGGATTTCCTGGCTTCATTGCTAGGCCTTTTTTCCAGTCTTCATTTTCAGGCTTTATTTCCATGCTTTATTTCAAGGTTTCCATTTTTAGGCATTGGGAAAATAATACAAATCACTTGAATTCTATAAGTCTGTTGTTTTTAAATTAAGAATCAATTGTTTGTAAATAAAGAGTAATAATATATGTAAAAAAGTATAATAATACATTATATATGTAATATTATAACTATTTAAAATGTTGTTATATTATAAAATATATTATTTTAAAATATATTATGTTGCACAATTTAATTATATATATATATATATATATATATATATATATATATATATATATATATATATATATATATATATATATATATATATATATATATATATATATATATATATATATGTATATATATATATATATATATATATATATATATATATATATATATATATATATATATATATATATATATATATATATGCATATATATATATGCATATATATATATGCATATATATATTTTGCCGTTTAAATATACATTTTGGTATTTCTACAATACCAAAATGTATAAATATTTACATAGCCAGGGCATAAAGAAGACAATAGTAGTCTTATTACTAAGCTCCGTATATATATTAAGTATAATATATAGATTGTAAATAAAGTATTATCATTTTTTCATTTAATTCAATTAGAAATGTTTATCTACATACCGTGGAGCTATTATTGGTTGTTACAAGTCAAATAATGAATCATACAAGTTTACTGAAAATGGTAGCAATATAAATCATTTTACAAATAGCAAACTGAAAGAACTGTTACATTGGTAATTTTGACAAATTAACAATTTTGCTTTGGATTATAATTTTGATGTTTTTTTAAAAATATTTTTTTATATTACAATATTTTATAAATTGATTGGTTATTTTTTTAAATTGTTATAAATTAATTTTTTTTTTTACATTCAAGTACAAGTTTTAAACCCGATCTTGGAAAGACCAGAACGTTTTTAGGATTGCATAAGGTAACATTTTTTGTATAAAAACTTTGTAATACCGCTAATAGCGTTTCCAGTGGTAATGTTACCAGAGTTGTAATACACAACACACACACAAAAAAAAAGCTAATGATAGTATATATTTGCTAATTAAAAAAAATTTAAATTTAGATTATTATTACTTATAGTTTAAAGTTTGTTGTGGTCATACTCACCTTAACCCTGAATAAAAAATTGAGCTATTAAGAAGGGTCTTAACAACTTAATAGCAAATAATACTAAACAAAAATTGACAGATTTTTTGTTTGTTTTGTTTTTACTTTTTGATATATTTACAGGTTTCATCTTCACGCTTCATAGAGAAAAAAATACAAATCATTTAGGTTCTGTTAATTTTGAATTAAAAGTCTTTGAGTTCTGGAGTCCAGTTTCCCAATAATACAATTAAACTCCAGAATTAAATTTTTTTTTTTTTTAAACATCTTTCCTTTCAACAAGGCTGCAAACAACCACTATTAGAGTTAAAAGTTACTGGAAGAGGAAAGATGAAGATTGTAGAGCAAGATAACGATTGACAGATGACTTAAAAGATTGCAAATTATACGAATTCCAAAGAACTGATGTTCGAGGAAAAAAACTAGACAAATAAGAGTTTTTGGAGCACTTAGGAATAGTCACAGAAAAAGGATGAGACTTAATAGAATGATGATGTAACATGAAAATTAAGACTTAATAGAATGATGAGTAACACGAAAATGAATTTTAGTAGATGGCACAAGAGACGCTAGCTCTTTAGAGCAGTGCCCATTATAGTATTTGTAGAAAAAAGAAAGAGAAGCAACATTACGACAATGTGATAATGGTTGGAGGTTGGCTGCAAGAGCAGGACCAACCATGTTTACAATGCGTTTTTGCACCTTGTCTAAATGACAATACCTTAGTGTTATTACCGCTACAATAACACTAAAGTGTTAATTGTTGTTTTTATTTCTCTATGCTTAAGGTTGAAGTTTTTTTTGAAGATTTTACCATTTTTTAAGAACTTCAATTTTATTATTATATTGTTGTACACATAACATCTAATGAAAAGTTCCATCAAAAAAATTAAAATGATGATTAAGTAAATCAATTGATAAGTTATTAAACTTCATTTTTATTCTTAGGACTATGAATGTATAACTATTACTGGTCTTGATGAAGAAGATCCAAAAGAAAATCCAAATGAAGAAGTTAATCAAAAAAAAGAAAACATCAGAGTTGCAGTGGGAGGTTTGTAGTATCTTACTAAATATTTTGTACATAAAAGGTAAAATTTAAATCATCAAAGAATTGATATAAAACAAGAAAAGGTATAAACTTAAGTCAGATAACAATTTTCATAAGATAATAAAAATGCTTTTAAAATTGTTTTTTTAGTTAATAATTACATTTTTTTAGCAACATTTAAATATATAAATTTTTGTAAATTTTATTAATTAGGGGTTAGCATCTTTTTTTTATTAGATGCTAACCCTCGGTTAAAAAGTATAAAGTACATGGTAGCTACTAATCTTCTAATTTTGGAATGTTAATAAATATCCCAATCTGGAAATTTTGATTTCAATATACATCATGTTAGCCTTAGATACAGCATGTGTGACTTAGTCCTGACACTTGATGATACCAAGACTGCACTCAAAGATGGTTTGTTAAGATTGTGGCAGCTGTTGAGATGAGCAATCATAATAAAGATTATGCTCAAATGAGTAGGTTGTCAATAAAAGCAGTGTTAAGGTGTTTATTAACTCTCCTGTTAAAGAACATAGCATTGCATTTGTTTATGTTAAAACTTATACTTCAGGTGTGAACCCATTTAAGTAGGCAGTTAATGTGCTTTTGGTGAAGTTGGTATTCAAGTGTCTTTAATAAGTGCTATTAACTTTGAGTCTGTCAAGAGTTAACTTTGAGTTTGATAAGTGAGGCCTGGCATGTTGTTGATAATAAGAACAAACAGGACTACTGAACATATTCCAAAAGAGATTTTGACTTCTCTTGGTAAGCGTTCAATCATTTCTTCATTAATTAACAATGAATCCACATTAGTTGGTGTTAAAATGACACATATCGAAGAGTCATCTTGTTCAGCATCTCCATATATCTTTTTCATGTCAAAAAGAATGACTTTTCCTAAATATGGAAAGTTATACTATATGTGCTGTTACCCAATGTTTAGGTAAGGAAGTTTGAATAAGTTGTGCAATTTAATTCAATTTATTACAACAGTTGTTGCTACGCCAATCTATGCTGCTGTATCAAATTTGATTAAAAATAAAATTTTAATTTAAAGTTAAACTTAAAAGCTACAGATTTAAAAAATCTTGTATAATATCTTTTATAATAGAGCAAAGCCCATGTTTAAAAACTAAAACTTAAAACAGAAATTAGAACTATCTGAAAATAACAAAAAATATAAAAAGTGTTAAGATGGGTTAAGTGTACGTCAATGCTGCTTAAAAAAAAGTGGTTGTTTAGTTTTTTTTTAAATGTTAATTCTGGCATATTTCTAATGTCCAAAGTTAACTTGTTAAAAAATTTTGCCCCTGCAAAGTAAAAAGAGTTTTTTGTCAGTTCGAGTTTTATTTTCTCAACAATATTCCTTGTGTGGTACATTTCTTATGTTTAATGGTTTCAAAATGATTAGTAAAATTTTCATAATGTTCATTATATAAACACTTTTTTACAAATAAGCATGAGTCTCTTGATGATTTTCAAAATTTTCTTAAGATTGTGATGGCTACCAGTTATATCTTTTTCTCTTCTGTCAAAAGAACATAGTTTGGCTTTGTGTGTTGCTGTAAAATTCAGGTTGATGTTGGGATTGTATGTTAATATTGGAACAATCATTTTTTGATAAATCTAGAGAGCTGCCTTTGCAGAAAAGAAGATCTTTAATTTACTCAGCAATTTTAAGCATTCTTTTCTATAACTATTCTTAAAATGATTTTTTAAAGAAAGCGTTTGATCCAATTTATATCCTAGGTATTTAATTGATTTCACAAAATTAATTATTTCTTGTTCATAATTTAAACAAAGTACATTCTTGTTATATTTTTTTGCAGATCCAAATAACATTGCTTCTGTTTTTCCCACATTCAGATTAATTATTAGTTCATTATTATTAGATTACTTTGCTATACTGTTCCAATATTTGATACTCTTGAATAGTCTTGAGTAAATGACAGCATCATCTGCATATGATATCATTTTTGCTGACATACGATATTCATGTAAATCATTTATAAATAAAAAAAACAGTAGTGGTCCCAGGATAGATCCCTGCAGTACTTCACTTGTTAAATAAAACTCTTTAGAATATTTATTATTAACAAAAACCTTTTAACTTCTTTCAAAATGATGGCAAAACATTCATACTCATTACCTGATATTCCATATGATTTCATTTTATTAAGAAGACCATTGCTTATAGTGTCAAAAGCCTTTGTTAAACCAACAAATACACTGCCTACAAGATTTCCTTTGTCAATATTTTTTCTTATATAGTCATTTAGCACTGTAACTGCAGATTGTGTCAAATTTTAATTTGCGATATCTAAACTGAGAACTAGTCAACATAGCGTTACTTTTAAGGTATTCTTGTAGCTCACAATGGACAGCTTTTTCCATAGTTTTAGATAAAATTGGTTAGAATGATATAACACAATAATTTTCTTCTTTATCAGTTAGCCCAGATTTCATGAAATGTAGGAAAAATGAAAGGTCTTGGTTATCCTTGATTAAAAGATCATGAGGAGGTTTTTAAGTTAAATTAAATAACGAAAAAATTTTTGTTTCGTTTCTTTAACGACTGTTGAGTAATAGTTAAAAAAGTCGCGTAAACTTTTATTTTTATTTGGAAAAAGCGCCAGACTGATATTGCTTTTTGCTTGATATAATTTCTTTATGTATTTCCAGAATTTATCAGGTTTAAGGTTATTTTCATCTATTATGTTTTTATGGTATTTAGGTTTTGTGTGTTTAATTAGATTGTTACAGTGGGTGTGTAATTGTTTGTATTTCAACCAATATTTTCATTTTTAGTTTTATGGGTTATCTTAAGAAAAATCTCTCTCTCCTAACAGTTTTTTTAATGTTTGCGTTTAACCATGGCCTTTTTCTACCTCGTGTTTCTATAAGCATGGGTTTGTGTTGAATTGAACTGAAATATACAAACTGTAAGTTTTTAACAAAAATCAAACTTACTCCTTAACAACTCCACTAAAAAAGCAAATTTAAAAATTAACTGTAAAGCATTTGAATACAAATCTTTACTGGTTTTTTCATTAAATTTTAAATTTGCTTCATTTCTATTCAATTTCATTTATAAAATAGCTAAAAAAAAACAAAGCTTTTGGATCTTTACTTGTTGCTTGTTGAAAGTCAAAGAAAGAACTCATGGTTGTTAAAAATGTGTTCAGTTCATCGTTAGTTATTATTTTTACAAAATAATAACTAACGATGGCAAAAACTGAATGTTTAACATTAAACATCACCTATAAGAATTAAAATATGGCAAGTTATGTGCAATAACTATTTCATTTCCAGTCATTTAATTTTATTAAGTTAATCAATTTAAATAGATAAAGTTTTTTTAATTCTAAATATAAATATCATTTGCAATAATTTCAGCTGCTGCACTTGAACTGAAGAAGTTAGAAGTCAAGTCTATTGATGTTGACAGTTGTGGAGATGCATCAGGTAAAATTATTTCAGCATTCTTTCTTTTTTTCTTTCAATATGAGGCTATTTTTAATAATTGCAATAATGTTTATTTTTCAAAAAAGTTTTTACGTTAGATAAAACATATAATAACAGTTGCTGTTATTGGTGTTTTCAGAGGTGATAACACCTCTCTGCAAATCTACATTCTGTTGTTATCATTATTAATATACTATTACTAGCAGTCAATTAAGCAAATAGAAGTCAGTCAGGTGGTGGTGATTTTAGAGATGATACATTAATATACTGTTACTAGAGGTTAATTGAGCAAATTGAAGTTATTCAAGTTACTAGCATTAAACAACTGTAGGGTTACTAAACAGCTAGGGGGCTTAATTAAGCAACCTGAGATTAATTAAACATCATCTACAAAATTTAAACAACTTTATCTATAAAATTAATTTTTTTTTGTTAAGTTTTAAAAGTGATTTAAAAACTTTATTTATTAAGTTCCACATAAGAATGTACAAGCTGTTTTTCAATTTAAAGTATTATTTATAATGCATTTAAGTTAAATACTATCTTTTACTCTGTTAAGTTTAAAAAGCTGGCTTCTAATTGACTAGACCTAACCAAATAACAAAAAAAATTGTTGTTGACTGCTATTTTATTTAAGCTTTATTTAGATTAATTAAAAAAAAAAAAGCCTAATCCAGTAATCATTGAATATTTTTACAAAATTTTATGATTTGAAGTTAAAAAAAATTATACATCTGCATGATGTATTTGATTTGATATGATTTTTGGTTGTACATTAGAAAATCAAAGTTGTTGCAGATTAGAACTTTTAATTTTTTAATTTTGAACTTTAAAATATGTTTCTTTTATTTATCAATAATTATATTGATAATAAATTAAAATCTCATAAAAAATATTATATTGATAATAAATTAAAATCTTATAAAAAATATTATATTGATAATAAATTAAAATCTCATAAAAAATATTATATTGATAATAAATTAAAATCTCATAAAAAATATTATATTGATAATAAATTAAAATCTTATAAAAGCTGTTGTAGCCAACATTAACAAAAATAAAATAAATAAAATAAAAAAATTAATAAAATTAAAAATAAATAAAATAAAATTAATACAAAAACAAGTTGATAATTGATTTAAAATCACTTTTTGATTTGCTTACATAATGGACTTACATAATTGATTTGAATCACTTATTCAAACTAGGTAATTTTAAAAAATTAAATTTCTTTTCTTACTGCCTATATCTATAAACTAAATGTTTTGTTTTCTAAGTTCTCTTTAGAGTTTTGAACAAAAATAGGCATCCAAAGTAGTTTAATGAACTGTTGTTGTAACACTAGGGCTATTATCACTGGCGTCAGTTTTATTTAAAGCAAAATTAATTTTACCTTAAATAAAACTGACACCAGTGATAAGAGCCCTAGTGTTAATAGTCACTGACATATTTATGTTAGAGTAAGATTAATTTGACTATTTGTAGTAACATTCTTATGGTGTGCTTGAAGTCCACTCCGCATCACCCTTTATTACAGGAGGGGTTCCATATATAAGTTCCATTTTTTCCTTTTAAATGTATATTAATATAAGTTTTCTAAAAAGTTTTATATTTTAGAAATAATATTAATTTTAAATATTAATCAATTACTTAAATTGCTTAAATTGTAAGTTTACAAGCTTATGAAATGGTTATACCAACCAGTTGTAACAAAAAAACATAATTTTTGAACAAAAATTTACACTTCATTTATTATGACTTTTTGCAACAATAGTTTTTTACAATGTTTTTGATAAAAAGAATATGAAAATTAGTTCAATTATATTTAATGTTGGTTGAATAATTTTGAATAAATATGCTGATGTTTGATTTTTGCTGTCATATATATATATATATATATATATATATATATATATATATATATATATATATATATATATATATATATATATATATATATATATATATATATATATATATATATATATATATATATAATATAATATAATATAATATAATATAATATAATATAATATAATATAATATAATATAATATAATATAATATAATATAATATAATATAATATAATATAATATAATATAATATAATATAATATAATATAATA